ACCAGAAGCCAACAGAGATACCTAATGCCTAAACGTGAAAAAAAAATTCCCCAAAAAAAACGAAAAAAAAACCTAGAAAAATATGAGTTCCAGAATCTGACTGCGAAACGAGCCGAAGGCAAAGGATAGTCGGAGTCCTGATAGAACATGAAAACAAGAACTCAGATCCGCCCATCAAACTACACTCTCCTGATCGAGAGCAATGCCTCAACAAAAATCCGAATCAAACTATCAAACTACACTCTCCTGATCGAGAGCAATGCCTCAACCGTCAAAGAAAAAATAAGACACCCATCCACGACCGCAAAGGGAAACCATGTTCACGACGTCGTGCGCGAAGGATGCTAGGACCCTCAGTGACGCCTAGTGACCCAAAGCTGACTAGATCGATGCTACTCAGCAGGATGCCAGGAATGTCTTGCCTCGGCTGCGAAGAGAAGGCTTGTAATGAGACGATCGAATCGAAGTGATGAGGTCTGGGAGACCACATTACACACCTATAGACCACATAAAGAAAAACGAGTGTTCTGTCTGGAGATGCCTGCCAGGCCCATCGGATAGTCCTGGTATATGGTCTAGTCTATGTCTATTCAAAATGCTCACTCTCACACTGATGATGAGGGTTTCTTGGCCTTTACACCACATCGTGCGACCCAAATCGCTAACTGTTACAGTGGATCAACCCAATCTCTCGAAAGGGGGCCTCTGAGATCCATTCCTCGTGTCCAAGCGTCAAGTTACTTTTGAAAGAAGTGAGGCACCCAGAACACCCAGAACAACCAGCCCGGTCTGCACCGGCTTGGTGCACGGCCTCTTAGGGTCATGTGCTTATCGACGTCGACACGATTGGATCGTCCTCACCGCCTCTGTCAACGCTCCAAAGGCTCTGGTGGCGCCCAAAGGCTGGAGAAGGAGAAGACGTGCTTTGATCTGCTGGAACCGGGAACTGTACATCTTCCCAATGGATTCACAAGGGTTCTTCACCCATTCAAGGGAACATCTACACTACACCTCATGCCGATCAGCTCGTTTTGTCGGTGGAACAGTCCTGAACATCTTCGCGCCGCATCGCCCCCTGCTGCACAGTGACACCACGCGAAGCAAACAGCCATAGCCTGGCGAGATCGTCTCGCAGGCCCGAACACAAAGAGGTTGACGCATCATCTCGAAGGCCCGTCCCCACGTTCATCCACGTCAACTCGAGTGCCAGGTTCGTTGGAAGTTCACCGCATCATAGAACTCTTTTCCGGTTAGAAAAGGTGCTTCAGTCCATGGATTTCGGGGGGTGATTTTTGTTGCATGAATCTGCATGCTCATTGCATCATTCTCTTTATTTCCTAGGGACTCCTGGCCCACCTCCGTTTCGAAGACGGGACAGGGGTGGGTGGATTTGGGGGGTCGAATACCACCGGTCACCTGAGGAGATGGGCCGTTCGGAGCCCAAACGGGATTGTTCAGATCTTTCAGTTCGTTCGCCTTTCGCCTCGACTGATCCCCAAAGACCCCTCCCGAACCGTGCCCCTGGTCATTTGGGGGTGGTTCATGGACACCCCTTAAGAATCCTTAAGACCTCTTTTAGGCTTTTCGGGGCTATCAATGGACACCCGGAATCCGATTTCGATTTAGGTCCCTGATGCTCAGAGATCTGAATCCCCCTGTCGCGGAAAAGAACAAACGGTTGAACATAAGTCCACCTGTTCCACCTGTTGGATTTATGTTTAAGCTAGGGTGTCCCCCCAAAAAATAAAAGGCCTTTGCAACTGGGCTAAGGTTATAAAATAAAGGCAGTCAAGCGATCCAAATAGACTCGGTATGACTCGAGGGTCGGCCGATTTGCTTGACGGGTTTCGACCTGCTAAGACGCGTCGACCGAATTCACCCATGGCAGCAGCACAATGCTGATCACGGAAGGCAACGACCTCTCGCAAGGTCTTGGGCGGCTGTAACGCCGCTGCCTGCGGGTTTTCTCAAGCTTCGCGTGCGGTCGGTATTATAGTGCCAGTCTTGTCTGTGGAGTGCATAGGTCTGTAGCAGGTCTCTGGAACAAAGCTTGATGAATGGATAGTATATTTCAAGAATTTAAGACCCCCTATCAGCTCTTTTTAAAGCGACCGACATCAAAATTGTCTAAAAACCTTGGGGGTTGCCTACAGAGTCCTCCTACGCACTTTGGCTGGTTGAGTTGTGGCAAGTCTCCTCCTGATTCAACAAGCACTGAGCCAGCGGTGGGGACCACACGAACCCCCTTGGCTAGTTTCTCGATGGTGATTGCTCTTGGAGGCCAGAGTTTGTTGCTTCAAGCAGTCTTACTTATGTTTTAAGCCCTCGGCATGGCTATGTGGCACACACAATTCCGCCATGGCAAGGCTAATGTGAGCATGCCTCAGCGGTCATCCCATGCTGAGAGAAGAAAGACTTGTTCAATCATAACTTAGATGCTGAAACAATTGGATGAATCAAGGGGCACCAACTTCCAACACGGGTCTCTTCACCCTCTTCTGTCACACTTGGATCACCAAGTCCTAAACCCCCCAAGGCCATTTGGCTCATCCAAATCATGTAGATTGAAAGTAAAGTGCAAGATACCCCATGTTGGTGGTTTATGTGGACCTTCATCTTGTTAAAACATCTTCGGGTGCCAGTGCCATCTACTCTGAAACCTCTGTAAGTGCAACCATCGAATCTTCGTGATGTCCCACAATGGCTCTTTGGTTCCAGCATGGCGCTGTTCAGTGGTTCAGTTGGAAGACCCTACACAACTTATGGATCCCCACGGGACACGTTTAAACAAACAAACGGAAAGGTTCAAGTTGTATCTGCTCATGGAGAAAAAAGCTTAACTTGCAGTGACCATGTCGGATGCTTGATGGAGCATATGGGACTGATCAGGGTGCAAAGAACAACATCCACAGCCCCTGCATAAGTCGAGCCAAACCACTCAACTCCATGGAGTTCATAGCCGATGGATGCATTTCCGTCCTTCAAACCTTGATTTTGTCGTTCAAATATAGTTCTTAAGAGGTACCCTGATGTACATTGATATCCTGGATCTTTCTTCTTCACCAGACTGGCTTGGTGCCTAACTCAGCCTCGGTTTTTCAAGGCCGAGGAGCACAACAACCGACCAAGGGCACGTCGAAGGCAGCGGAGGGGCCCAAAGGCTCCTTGTTGCAAATGATGGAGCACCTGGAGCACTAGAGTACCCCCCCAAAGGCACCAAGTTTGAAGCAACATCTGCCTGGAGTCTAAAAGCCACTCCAGGGCTTTGCTCCCAATGGACACATATGGACACCGTGGTAGGTTTTCCCTCCCAGGATCAGGGTATAGTCTATTCTATTCATGGTCGGGAGGTCTAACACCGCGGCGTCCAAGTGCGATTTGTAGAGCGGAGCCCTGTGAGTCATGGCTGACAGCGACTTCATTGGACCGAACCTGACTTGGGGAAGGTCTGGATAGGTGACCTACCTGGTACAGGGATATGTGACTTGTTAACATAATTCCTCGCAGTTCCTTGAAGAGTAGCATGAGTAGCAAAGCTCCATTACCGCACTAAAAAACCGGACTCTCTCTCTCTCTCTCTACAAACAAGCATAACAAGTCCATCCATACTGGAGGTTACAAAGGTGCTGCATGGTGCTGCTTTGCATAGCAAAATCCGGCAATTCTTTGACTAAACCTTTCTCACAGACCGAGGCAGCCTTTCTTCTCCTAAGCTCTTTGGCCAGTGCAGAGTGCTAGGTGGTCCATCTAAAGCATCAGCCATTTCCCTGAAAAAGGACGGTGAAGTGAACTTGCTAGGCTGTACTCTGTCCGTTGAGTGTGTGCACCGAATCCCCCAATCCAGTGACTTTGCAAATGAATCAGCACTGATTCCGTCGCTCCAACCGCCCAACCGCATCTGCGTTTTCTTCACAGTGTCTTGTCTGCCAAAGTCTATGTGGTGCCAAGCGGCAAGCAAAGGCTCTCCAGGATGAGGAAGCCACAGACCAATCCCACGACACACGAGAATGTGACCTTCCTCGGCTGAGAAAAAAGGTCGATCTCCAACAGTCGCCACGGCTACTTACTTAGTGCAACAGCCGGGTTTTGGGTGGTTGCTGCTGAGGTCTAGTTCTTCATGCCAAAACAGCTAGCGGATCCTTGCTAGAATCATCTATAACTACATTTAGGATTGAATCCGCTGATCCCGAAAATTGGAGCAATCCGAAATTGTGCAATCCGCTATTTACTAAAGACCAAAGACTTCAATTTCAAACAGCTCTGTTTGCAGATGCATGACTTACAACAAGCCGCGTCTACAAGAGACGCTCTTCGCAAACGAACCCAGCTATATAACTTCAGCCCCGGCCCATCCGCACTACCCTGGAGAGGAAGCCACTCTTTTGGTGCCCCGACACTCCGATCAGGGCCAGGGGGCCAAGTTGGGGGCGGTTGGTTTCAGGGGTCAATGTATAGATTCCATGCATGGAGTGTATGGGTTTGTAAGATAACCGCCCTCAACACCTCTGGTCCCCTCCCAACTGGCGAAGAGGCCCGGCGATGCCAGCGAGGAAGAACACCAAGAAGGGAAACAGGAGGAAGCAAATGCAGAAACACCCATGAAGCATGTTCACCTAGTGCGGATGGTCATCGAATCATCATGCGACAAACCCGGATGTTCTGAAAAACAAAGGTTCCTCTGGCAGAACACCCTGGAACACCAGCGAAACGAGGAAATTCTCGAAAAAAACACCTATAGGTTGACACCAGCTCTATAGAGCCGCTGTCCATAGGCCACCGATGCATGGGATATTGAATACATTGATCCCATGAAAATGATGCAACTCTTCTAGTCCCATTTGGTATGGTCTGTCGGTCGACCGATAGCCGACAGCTGCTCGGCCTGAAAAAAGCACGGAACACCGAACCTGAATGAATTGGTTTCAGGGAACATGTACAGGAAACCCATGGTATTCACCTCTAAAACTATATGGGTTTCCTGGTGATGTTCCCTGGAAACCAAAGTCTTCACGCTACACTTTGAATGTGCACGAGCATGGCTCCCACAGTGGGGGAACGGGATGAGTTGCGTCGAAGATTTGGGAACCACTGAGAATCCTGAAAGATCTATGAAATTCTCCTAAAAATCCTGAACAGCTGTCCATTCTCAAACTGCCAATAGATGATGAGAACTTCCTGTCCAAACTCTACATGTATCTGAGTCTGTGCTATTCTGTGCCCATGGCTTCCATTGTCTGCATCAGCCAAGATTCCTTTCAAGCTATGTTACTATGTTGGTGAGGTCAAGTTCTCCCTTTGCCACACAGTAACCCCTCAGTTTTCTTGAAACTAAAAGGATAGAACCCCCTTAGAGTCTGGCTGCCACTAGCTGAGTAGGTCACCCAGCCAATATCCAAGGTGCCCAGTTCCGTGGTTCGCCCAGACATCACATCCATGCAAATATGAGCTCAATCACTGGACAGGTCAAGCTACAAGCTAAACCACTCCAACTCAATGGAACTACTCCAATGGGCCTCTTCTTGGGTCCGGTGGAGGTGGAACATGACGATGTAGAACCAGCTTGCGATCAAGGATGCGGCTGCAGCCAAATAGATCTCGCCTGTGCCGGGGAAAAAAAAACACTAACACTACTAACACTAACACTAACACTAACACTAACAACAACAACAACAACAACAACAACAACAACAACAACACTAACACTAACACTAACACTAACAACAACAACAACAACACTAACACTAACACTAACACTAACACTAACACTAACACTAACACTAACAACAACAACAACAACAACAACAACAACACTAA